AGCCACGCCAGCTGAAACAGCTGCTCTGGCCAAAACAGCCACGCTGGCAACCCATGGGGCTTTTCTGCCTGGGAATTTTCTGGTCTGTGTGCAATAAAGATCCGTCTGGAAATGCAGCATCCACTCACCCTCTGCGCTTTCACTGGGAGCTGCAATCCTGAGTTTCTCCTAAAGGGCCATCTTGGATCAGTCTCCTAAAGCTCAATTTTAAAAACACTTATAATACATTCATTTAACCTGAGTCATTTTAACCAAACAATTTCTTTTACACTTTAGCTTTCAATATCCACTTAGTTTTAATCTGCTTTTTCTTGTTTTTGGTCCTTTCATTATTCTTCTTATAGTTTAACATTAGGCCTAGGGGGGTATTAGGGGCTAATATTATTGTTGCTAGCTTTATCCTTTTTATTTCTTACCTTACTTGGAGTATTTACTACTTTTGGGGTAAGGCTCAATTTCCCTTACTAGAAATATCTCACCTTCTTTTTTTTAATCCCCAAGATACTCTGATCAAGGAATACTTCACCACCCACTCTGCCCCCCTACAGCTTCTCTTACCTTGGTATATCACAGCCAAGGAATCACCACCCCTTAACCCCTGTGACTTTTCTTTCCTCGATCCTTCCTGACCACCAAGGAAATACTTTGCTGGCTCCTGGGCATTTCCTTCCTTGGTCTGGCACAGACTTGCATGGTTGCTGCAGTATGTGAGGATCCTTTATCCCAGATCACTGGCTCATTTCTTTCTACACTGCTGAGAGTCTGAGTTTATTCCTCGCACCAGGTTGGTCCTGATTCCTCACTCCTGAGGCCACTGCAGTGAGGTAGTGGAGCATGCCTTCTCAAGAGAGAGAACCAAAGACCACCCAGAAGGGAATGGGTCCCTGTATGAGGCACCAATTTTTATATGTAATTTTTTGGTGCTGCAAAAGAAGTAGCACTTGAATATAAATTTTCTCAGCAAGGCCACTTACTTTTATAGAAGGATATATCTCACATATGGAGCAATGTTGAGTGCACACCTGGACAAAGGAGGGAAAGGGGTTCTTATTCCTAATGCAGGTAGCCCCTACTACTGTTTCATTTCCCTCTAGGGTTTGACCACTCAGTCTAAACTAATTCTGATTGGCTATTTTAAAGAGAGCAGGGGTATGAGCTGGAGTGGCAGGGTGGGTAGTTTTGTGGGAAGGATGGTTATAGAACAGGTCAGAGCAGGTGACCAGAGGTTGAATCAGGTCAAAGCAGGTGACCAGGGAACAGATATGAACTACTGATTAGAACAGGTGGGAAAGTTGTTTACCCAAACTAGAGGCAAGGGGATGCAGATAACCAGAAAGTTAAACTTTAAAATGGAGAATTAAAGAATAAGAGAGCTGAACATACTGACATACTGATTCTTTGAAGAGAAACTTAGAGTTCACTATATCTAACATGATGCTTCTGGGGGACAATGGAAGCTCTACTTCAGATCCCGCTTGTAACACCCCCTGTTAAAATAAAAACTTTAAACAAATTTAACAGAATTCAACCAAACAAAGAATGATTCACAAATCAGGCAACCACTGTTACCTAGAGTGCATTCAGAGGAAAACCAGAGCTGTCTCATGGTTGAATAAAATTTATATGAAAAAAGAAAGTGATGTACCATAAACATGTTGCAGGAATTTTCCTTAGTTCAGCTAAAGATGAAGTTCTTTGTCCCACAGCCACAAATATTTAGGCTCGCAGACTACTTAAATTGCAAGACAGGGTTTTATTGGGTGAAAATGAAGAAAAGGAGGCAACAGGGACTCTTTCTAGGCCAGAGTCCCTGCTAGAGTACTTCCCTCCAAGGCGGTTGAATCCCAGGTTTTACAGGAAGAGGAGGGGCCAGGCTCCTCTCTACTGCAAATATCATAAACTTCCCAGGGCTCCACCTCTGTGGCCAGGCCAGTTGAAATGTCTCCAGGGACCTCCTCCCACCTGGCTGTCTCAAAAAATGTGAGGTAAAGAAACAACTAGATTGGTTACAAATGGATATGGCCGTTATTTGAACCTGGCTTGAATAGTTGGCTGACTGTGGTTGACTGACATTTGGCTACTGTAATTGGCTAAGACTTTGCTACTTGTTACACATGTAGGTTATAATCTCTTTACACATCAAGTTGAATTGCAGTTCATTATGTATGGAGAAATCTTTAGGATTAACTTAAAATATGTAAAAAGTCAGCTTTAGGCCAAACTTAATTTAACCCTAGAATATCACCTTATACAGACAATACTTTAAGACCATTTCAAATATCATATGTTCATCTTGACCCATTCAGATCTTTTCAGCACAATTTTATTTAGTAAATGTATTTTTATATATTATAAACATTTTACTCAAAACTCTTTTACAACTAGAAGAAAAAGAGTGTTCCACACAGAGAAGAAAACATTAAAAAGTTGTTTTTAAAGGGTAGTGTAAAAACTACAAGTAAAAAATAAAATTATCATTTCTTTTTAAAATTTTTATTTATTATCTATTTTCAGACATGGCCTCATTCTGTTGCTCAGGCTGGAGTGCAGTGGTGCAATCTTGAATCACTGCAGCTTTAACTTCCTGAGTAGCTGGGATTACAGGTGTGCCACCACTCCCTGCTAATTTTTGTATTTTTTGTAGAGCTGCAAAAAATGCAGCTCTTCATGTTGCCCAGGCTATTTTGGTTTTTTGAAAAGAGTTATTCAGGTACTATCTTTTCTTTGTCTCTGAGTTTGATTCTATACCAAGTCCTATCATTTTTTCCTCCAGAATATTGTGACTTTAACTTCATTCCAAGCAAACTATATCTATATCTTTTGATTGGTCTACCCTTTCAACTCTTGGTTCTCTTCAATCTGTCAAGGTACTATTATTTACCTTCCAAATGAACACCAATCTAAATGTTTGACAACATACTCCATTGATGTGCCTATGTGAAAAAAAGTTATTCTTACATACTGTTAGTGGGAATTCATACTGTTACCCTATTTAGCATAGGTATATGGGCAATTCATATAAACATTTTTTTTAAATATTACTTAATTTAATAAAGACAGAATTTTGCTATGTTGTCCAGGCTGATCTCAAATGCCTGGGCTCAAGCAATCTTCCCACCTTGGCCTCCCAAAGGGATTACAAGTCTGAGCTGCTATGTCCAGCCCAAAATTTCTTATACTTGTATATTTTTCTCCAGCATCCACCTGTTGAAATCTAGCAAAAAAATATGAAAAGATATATTTAAAACATTATGAAATGAGTAACTTTGCAATGAAAGACAGGAAACCACCTATGTGTCTATCAGGTGAAGAATGGTTGAATAAACTATAATACATTTACCCTTTAGGATGCTATAAGATAAAATTTCTTTAAACTACTGTATCATGATTTCCAAGATGTGTTAGGTGTGAATGACAAGGTGAAGAAAAGTACGTAAAGTATGCTACCATTTATCCATGCAAACGGGGACACAGAAACAAAAATGATTATTTGCTTATATATTTTATTTAAAAAATTATCATCAAATAGAAACCACCATTATATGCATTGGGTTGTTTTGTATATTTAATTTTTTATACACATACTTACATAATAATGAAACAAAAGTAAATAAAATCAATGCTAAAATCTAAAGCAAGATGAAACAAGTAAACTTGTATATCAAATTAAACTCACAACTAATGGAGTTAACCAAGTGACAAAAGACAATGTGATTTGACCATATATTCCTAGGAGCATATGCCCTATGGATATGCTATGAAGTAACAAGACTTAAAATGGCTTTAAGCAATCATAATTTTGGTGGTCGCATTGGGACACTTCTCTGGACCATTAGGGGAGTACAGCAAAAGAAGTGATTATTTCGGTAGTATGAAAATCAGGGTTCTCATATTGGGAAAGAGGAGATACAATTGGAAGACGGAAAGGTTATATAAAAACCCTACTATCTCAAATATTAATTGAAAGCATAAACACAGGATATCTTTTAACCATCTTTAAAACAAAGCTTTATCCATGAAAATACCTAAATACAGTGATCCACCAGCACTATTATTACCTGTCTTGTAATCTCCAAGTCTTATATCCCATAAAGGAGCCAAATTTTCTTACACCAATGGCTAAATTCATATCTGGCGTACATAATAGACATGCTGAATTTGAAATATTTTGTCATAGCTGAAAGCAAGGAAGTGACCACAGATTGTTACCTGAAGTACTTTCTATTGCCTAAAGGTGAAAATTGTGGTTATTGACTATTCATTGAATTGAAATGCAAACATGTTTAAATCTATGTGCTTATAATGATACTTTAAAAGCCCTCACTGATCATTATTTTGGCAACTTGTAAATTAAAGGAAAGAATCAACCATATATCTTCCATTTACAAACTAAACGTCAGGGACCAAACAGTTAATGGGGGATAGTTTTTCTCTACAGGAGTATTTCAGCTAATAAGTGAAGGCAGAATGATTGAACTTTTTTTGTATCCTGAGGAAATAATGGTCTGGGCCATGATCCCCAATGGCTATGACCCAAAAGGAGAGACAACCACTGAATTTCAGGGAACCACCATGAGCCTCTAATTGTCAAATTGTCAATCCAGAATCTGATCAAGCCTCTAATCCACCACTTATTTACAGAAAATACAGGAGAGAGAGAGGAATGTATTAAATAATACCATGAGTAGTCTATCAGCAATTCACATCATGAATTCTATAGGACAAAATGTCACTTCTCCAACAAATCAGTTTAAAAAAAAATGTAGAAGGAACCTATAGAGAGAAGAAGACTTAGGGGATTTATCAGCCAATTACAAAGCATGGACCTTATTTAAATTTTAAACTATAAAAAATTAAATATCCATCTATACACATATATGTACACATATTTGTTTATACATGTAAGTTGGGAAAATCTAAAAACTGACTAGATTTAATATTAATATAATATTGTTCATATTCTAAGTATGAAAATGGTTTTGTTGTTAAATTTTTTAAAGGAGACTTCATATTTGAGAAATGAAAACTTACATTTATGGGAGAAAAAATATGTCTTGGATTTGCTTCAAAATAAGCCAGGTTGCAGGTAAGTGTAAGAGAAAATATGTATAAAATAAGATTGGCTGTAAATTAATAATTATTGAAGCTGAATGATAAATAGAAGTACATTATCATTTCTTCACGTTTTCAAGTATGTTTGAGTCTTCCATTTAAAAAAAAAGAGAGAGAGCGAAAGAAAGCCCTGAATAGATTGGTCCTACCATCTTGCATTAACCCCTCTCTGTCTCCCTATGGGTGAGCCACCCTATTCACGTTTACTTTATGAGTATCTTTCCTGCCTAGGACTTTTCTGTGCTGTGCTGTCTGCAATGAGCACCCTGCTGCATCAATCTGTGGTGACTTAATGCCTACTCCATCCATCAGACTTTGGTTCTGCTTTTACTTCTTCGAGGACACCTCTGACTTCTCTAATTTGGTTCAGATTTCTCTGCTTTAGGCCCCTGTGTTATCATTTACCTCTACTTTCTAACACTCATTACACTTAAAATTTTGTGGGAATTTGTATTTCTGTTAGCCCTAGTGAATACTAAGGTACCTAAAGATAAAAGCCAGGTTCGTTTAACATAACAGACTGGTATGTGGTTCAGTACACAGTACTCTGTTTGCTGAATGTTATACCACATCTGTTAAAAAAAATTTATAATAAACAGGAAGAGGTATATCCACTGGGGATAAAAACAACTCAAGTTTCAATAAGTATAGAAGAGAAAGTGATTTTTCTGGGTGGAAAAAGCTGGAGTAAGCTTTTCTGATATTATTTCTTATGATATAAAAATGAAGATAAATTAATAAAAAGCTACCTCTTAACATTAGATACAAGTCTATTCCAGTCCTAAGGATAGGTATGGTTTTAAGTGGAGAAGGAAAAGTGAGATATAGTCTTCTGGGTCAATCTTTGGTTGAGGTTTTAATATATAGAGAGAGCTTTTATTGCAACATGACTATGTACTTCTATAAAGCTACTAATAATGATCCAGAGATGGCTACAATGTCCTATAGGGCAAGGTGACCTCTAAATAAAAATGCTAACTTGCTTTGTGAATCTGACAGGTGACATACACTGAGAGATCAGGAAGCTCTGAATTGTGTACTTCAGTGATTATTTCTTGTCTCTTTTCTGGAAACTTCTACAGTGTGCCGTTATTATCTGGAGCATAGGGAATGTGGTCTTCTCAAAACTTCAGAATTCACAGCACAGAATGTTGTTAATTCCAGAAATATTGGATACATGCAGCTTCCTATCTTCTCAAGTATTTTATGTTTTCTTTTGCAAAGCACAATCCAGTTACTTGCTGAGATGCAATTCCTCATTTATAGAGAAAACCAAAATGTCAGCAATAGCTAGTTGGGATCAGTAAATCTCAGGTTAGAATTTGAAAGGAAAGCAGGCTGTAAAAAATTAATTGAGACAGATGTGTTTAAATAGGGGGCAAGGGAGTGGTGGGCATTTTTATTCTTTTGCTTTACATTTTAACCATGTGGCAACTCTGTTGTAAAATGATGTAGAGCAAGTTCTAGAATCTTAGAAATTCTCAAGTATACAAACAAATCTAATTTATTTCAAAAATGGGTCATTCCTATAGGAGTTTGGGCAAGATAGGAGATTTGGGCCTTTAGTTGGAAGAAAATAAAAATTAATCTCATGATAATCTGGTAGAAAATCTGAATAGTTTAGAAGGAATACATTCTAAGAAGCATTTGGTGAGTGAAAAAATGACTGCAATTTAATATCAGTTTTCTAAACAATTTCTCTTCCCCTTCACCCCTCTCCCCTTTTAACAACTCCAAAACCTTCCCCAAATGGTTTAACTTCTAATGATTTTAGTTTATTACCATGGTTCTCAAAGTTGAGTATAGGCAAGATTTATCTTGGGAGCATGTTAGAAATGCAGATTCCTCTACCTTCTCCCTAGTAAATCTGATTTAGGAGGTCTGGATGAGGTCCTAGAATCTGCAGTTTTACTCCATGTCATGGTCATTTTAACAAATGTGTTCCCTGGACTGCAATTGAAAAACATGGATAAAAGAAAACTGACTGGGATATATCTCTAGAAACTCTTGAGCTGTACTAGCAATAAAATTACTATATAATAAACCTAAATAATGTTAGGTACAAACAATAAATATTTGTTGATAATTAAGGACTCTCAAAAGGAGTTTTATACATAAATTTGTGCTATTTAAAGTAGATTACAGTCCTATGAACACCATTAGATTCTGGCTACCAACTCAAGAAAATAGGGTGAGTACTAGTGCCCCACACACTGCTATAGAGTTCAGTATTGGGAAGTCAGTGTTTTAGAAAAATATAATGTTCTGGTTAAGAGCCTAGGCTTCAGATTCAGGTTTTTACAATCTTTGTTATAATGCAATAGACTCTCTATACCTTTGAGAAATTCATTTAACTTAGCCTCAGTTGCCTCATCCTTGAAATAGGAGAGTTGGTGCCTTCTTTATAGAAATGCATAATGCTTAGATGAGAAAATGTTTGTAAGTGTACATGAAGTTCTGGAATATTGTAAGCACTTAAATAGTTTTTTGGCTTTCATAGAGTTTATGGTCAAGAGGAAGGCAATGACCCCCTGGGAAACAGGGTTCCTGTAATAGCTCAGCAAAACAGAATTGAAGATTTGAAGTCTGAGTTTTTATGCACTAAAGACATATTGCCTTGAATATCATGAGAAACTGTGACTGTCTCACCTAGTGAGCATGACATATAAATAAAGTATTTTAAATATTTTTAATAATTTGTGTAAAGTTTTTAAAAAAGTAGCAAAGACTACATGAAGTGGAAGAAGCTATATATATATTACTGAGGCTTACCTATGTTGCATTTTAGTACAACTGTATAATTGTTGGGCATGGAGAAGGTTTATTTTATTATTATTATTATTATTATTATTTTACCGAGGCCTATACTTGCTCTCTACTTCCTGGAATAAAATGAAGTAGATTTTTTGCTGTGACCTCTGGGAAATTTTCTGAATTCTCTATTCATCAGAGAAGAAACTCTGCCCTAAATTTAACAATGGTTAAAATGTTATGTTCGGTAGCATATAACTATATGAGAGTGCAGATTTGAAAACATTTTCCTACTACATAGTAACTATACAAAATATGTTGATTATAATTTATTTTATATTTCTATTTTACTTGTTAGATATTAAATGTTCTTCCTTAAAATACACTAAAAATTTCCATAATAATCCTAGAACTAGCCAATATCTACCATTCTTTCTTGAATGAACAATTATTATCAATAGAAATGGTGTTTTCTGTCACTTCACCTTATTTCAGCACATTAAAGATGTTACTTTCTGGTCTTCTGATTTGCGTAGTTTCTCATGAGAAGTGTATTCTGATTCTTATTTTTGTTGTTCTGTATAGAAGTTCTTTTTCTTCTGTCTGCCTTTAAAATTTTTCTTTAGTTTATATTTGAATATGATGTGTCCAAGCATGTATGTGTGTTTGTTTCAATATTGATTATGAATCAGCTGGTGTTCTCTGAACTCTTCAATCTATAGTTTGATGTTGTTAAATACTTTTGAAAAATATTGTCTCCATCTTACTCTTAACTATACATTATGCTTTGCCAATAACATAATTTGATAACACAATTATCTGTACTGTCACATCTGGAATAGTACAGTATTGATGGAAAGAGCAGTGCACTGACAGTCTCTATACTTGGGTTATTAGGCTGATTATAAAACAACCTGTGAATTTTTTATCAAATGACTGCCTTCTCCTAGCCTCAGTGACTTCACTGATGTAAGAGATTGTATCAGATGATGTTTTAGGCTCTTCTAATTCAGGAACTGATCTAAAAATTAAGAAGAAAACTGCATAAACTAATTGATACCAAGCCATGAATGGCCATCTCTGGACTTTAATGGTCATTTTCATTTTCAAAGAGAAAGTACCCCAAGGACCAAATGACTCACTAATTAGAGCTACACAATTGGGGAAGGAAAGACTTCAAGCAACCAGAAATTACACCATCACTTATTTCACCCATAGTGCCAGTTCTGCCTTGTTTCTTCTTTTCCCAACCTTTCATTTATTCATTCTGTTTATTATTCAACTAAAGATTCTCCCAGACATATGCTGAAATTCAGAGAGTATGTAAGATCATTTTAAAATGTAAGAATTCAAAACGCCAAAACTAAAAATAAATCTAGTGAAGAAGCAGGGAGAAGACCTTGCTGTGAGTCCATATGAAGAGGTCTATTTGTGTAAACTTAACTCTCTCTATCCAGCACAGTGTTGCTTGTTTCCTAGCACCAATTTTTACCCCAAGGTCCAAATCACAGTAGAAATGGTCAGTTTTTTACTTCTCCTTAATACAAATCAGTGTAGTGGAGCTTACTGCAGTGTTTTTCAGCATGATCAGGAGCAAGCTGGATTACTTAGAGCAGATGAAGAGGCATCAATAACCCTGTTCTCACTTAGGAAGAAGTGCTTTCATTGTGCTGCATACCTCTCTCACTCGTCTTCTGCGAACAGTTTTCTATGGTAAATTTACTCGAGCCAATTATCTCTTGATGAAACCCCAGAGTTTGGGCATTAGATAAAACTGAATTTGAAATGGCTCTGCCCTGCACTACGTGTATATGTCCTTGAGAAGCTTATTTACTCAAGAGTAAGATTCCTCTTCTGTAAAATGATGGAGGCAGGGATGTATAACTCATGATAGTACCACCTCATATTCTGGTAGGGAGGGTCAAGCAGAATATTTCATTTGAAGAAGTCTCTACTTAACAAAAACAACAATATGTTATTTCAAACTAGTTTTGATGCTTTCTGGAGAGGCGCTATATTTTTCCTCTTTCTATAATAATTTATTTACAAATCATAAAAGTCCTAAAGCTTGATAGGCTGGCTATGTCTTAATCTTTACTTTCACTTAAAGATAAGAAGGATTAAATGTTATATATCTAACATCACATATTTAATCAGCATTCCTAGACTAAGGACCTCTTCAAGGAGAATTACAAACCACTGTTCAAGGAAATAAGAGAGGAC